ATTCCTTGCTAGGAGGCAGGCTCTTTACCCTAGTTCTACACTCATGGGCCAAAGCAAGCAGTCCTTCAGCCCCAATTCCTCTCTACTGCTGGTAGGAACAATGACTCTTATTTTTTGCCAAGGCATATTGCTTCCAAGTCATACTAATATCAGTTTCAAGTGGGTGAAGCATAGCATAACGTTCTCCACACCCTGTAAGGAATGGCTTCCACCTGCCCAAAGAGGGCTGTATCCATAGAAAACAGCAAACAGCCAAAAATTCTTCTCGCTTTTGTGTGTATTGTTATTTGGCAAGGTACTTGGACACGGTGAAAGACCTCACAGTACAGTAGAGCCTGCACAGGATCAGTATCAAGGGAAAAACACACATTAATTTTATCAAAGGAGTTTTTCTCAGGACTTTCCCTTGGCTGTGCCTAAAGCGCAGCTCAGCAGCACAAGACTCTGCACAAACTACAAGGGAGAAAGGTGGCAGTGGGCTAACAGACACACAGCCTGGCCATTTCCAGGAACGCCTAAAACCACCCTGGAATCCCAGGACCTCTTTAGAGAGGCTGGGGCAAAGAGATAGCAACATGGTGCACTTGAAAAGCCAGGTCTGTTGCATCTGAATTATCCGTACTGATCCAAACAGAAGATAAAGGCCACAGCAACTATGACTTTTAGGCTCCAAGAAACATCATAACTACAAAATAACCAGGTCAACCCTGAGTTAAATGGCTGAGTGTGTGAAATAAGATACTGAGCCAGCTCAGACTACTCACAAGATACTTGCTCTTCTGTCTATGTAAGCAATGTTCAGAACGTCACCGGTACCATACAAGGTGCCTGGTAGGGACAAACCATCTTCAGTGGTTGGGTGTCAAGTTTTAGAGCCACAGAAGCTTGTTTGAAGAAATAACAAACATCATAAGCACACATCTATATAGAATCATGGGCATCAGCCTTTTTAAGCCACAAAATAGACACTTGACCAAATTCTGGGGGTCACCACTGCCCCAAAAAGAGTGGTGATGAACTGCAGCGTTAACTGAGGATCTGTCTGAGCCAGAGGCAAAATGACATCAGTAAAAACCACCACCACAGCATGACCCATTGAGAGCAAGAACGCACTATCTCTCAAACCTAAGACTCAGTAAGACATGTTCACATACAGAAGGTCTAGTACTGAAGTCATATCAACAGATCCAAGGCACTGATACAGCTTATTCCAAGTAGCACAGCTCACTTCAGGTACAACCAGCACCTTCTGGTATGATTGCATAGGTGATACTATTGTCTTACTCACACCTAGAAACTAAAGCAGTTACTCATGGCTGAGAACAGATACACACTACAATTACCAGAGTGAAGCACTGAAAAAGAAGGACTGGCTTGAAGAAGTTGCTCTGTGCCTATTCAGTCAATGGAACAAGACAAATTGCTTCTAAAAAAGCTAAGACCTAGTTTTATCTCCAAATTAAGTGTCCTTAAATTGCTGCAACTGTATTTCACTGCAAGTTAATTCTTACACCACACATTAAGGAGTGTCATTCAACAATGGGTTTTGGCAGTCAGAACTGCCAAGAAGAACAGAGTTGGGGTTTCTTCCCTCCCCCTTGGATAGCACAACTGATTCCTTGTATCAGGAAGGTACAACTGCCACGTGCTTGTGCCAAGCATGATGATGGACACCACCTTCAGTAAAAAACCCCAACAGAATATATGTTCAAATTAATGTCTTCATATATCAAGAACTTTGATGGTTATAAAGGTTGGTGTGAGATGAAAATAAAGGCCAACATTCCTCCCATCTAGAAGTAGGCTCTTGTACGTGTCTTCAGCTGCTGTGATAGACTGATAAATCCAGACCCAAATAGCTACCATTTATATGGAAAATTCTACTGCAGTCGAGACAGGAGACCAGCACCTTGCTTTCCATTTAAAAGTAAGGACTGCAATTGTCAAAGATTAACTAAAAGCACCATTGTGCAGGTAAGAAGCAGCTGAGACGTGCCAAAATTAAACCAAACTGACAACAGCTGACTGGTAAGAATCACTCACATGGAATTTTAAGACCTTTCTGGCACATGGCAATTCATGTCCATCTCATAATCACCCCTAAACTGACAACCAGTTCCACAGCAAGCGATGCCAGCGCAGACACCGAGTACGCA